TTACCGTGTTGCCCTTTCCCCTATTCAAGATTCCACCCCCTGTTTCTGGCGTAGTGGTAACGGCGGTAACATTCAAAATTCGAATTTAGAAGGTGTTCTGTTCGAATCTCGGTCAGGACAGAGGCTGTCTTATCAGGTTTTAGTGGTTGTCCAAGTCCCTCCATGCAGGTGTCCGGGTTGTAACTCTATTTATTTACTCTTTATTATCATTCATCGGTCCATTCAGGTACATAAACATTGGATATAGAAATTGTCAGAAGATTACATGGATATATTATTATATATATAAATATAATATAATAATATATATTATATAATAATATAATATATATTATATGAATATATGATATAATAATATATTATATTATTACTTTTCCAATTCATGTATCATCCTACCATTTAACGCTACTTAATTTACTAGATACTGGCAGCATCATAAATAATCCATAGAAATGAACCTACACGGATATGATGTATTTGCACACAAAATTGTTTCATAGCATAGTGTCATATTTCGTTGTAGCAAATATGAGACATGTTGTAGGAAAGACATCATTTGGAAACCCTGACTGGCAGGAAAAGATTAAAATGGCTCTGGAGGAAGTAAGATAGGAAAATGAGTATTCGATTCATTTGGTTCAGGGCAGGGACCCGTGGCGAGCTATTGTGAACAACTATCAGTTTCTGAAGAATGATTAAAATTCCATGGAGATCGATGGATATAGTCGCAGTCCGTTAGTCATTTAACTATCCTCGGATGCCTCGGATCAACGCTTTGTGCTGTCCGCCTTGAAACAGTATTGGCTGGTAGTAATGTATTGCCCTAACCTGTTGCCAGTTTTGAACGATGCAAGCTTGCGACTGCACCCTTAGGCGTTTATAGTTAAAATAATTATCTGATAAGAATGTTACATTCATCCGTCCTAGTTGAGGTTTGCTACACGCAGGCGGGGCCAGGAATTGCCAAACCGTGGCAATACTGCAGTTAGTTATTTGCTCCTACACCACAGAAAATACTCTGGGTCATTACAACAGATATTCGGTTAGTACTGTTTAGGGCAATAATCAACGTTAATTCTGAGAATCAAATGAAGCAAGTAAATATATTCTTTGGTCAAAATGCTGAGCTTTCTAGCGTTAAATCAGGTGGTTAATGTATTTATAACTGCGCTTTAAATGCTTAAAAAAAAGTCTTTCTTAAATCATCATTGTAGATTTGTTTATGATGTAATTTTCATAGTCAATCTTTTTGTATGTTTTCTAGCGTAAACCTCCCAGTGAATTAACTCCAAGTATTTTGCTTATTACATCGCAGTCTTTGATTGATGGTACTTTTTAGCGGGTGGGGTATATATGCCGATGTTGCCTGTTTGCTTTTCAAGACGTTGCAAGATGTCTGCTGTGATGATAACACTGTCGAGCCTTAGAAGTATGCGGAATTAAGATATGCTCATTTCCTTTGAGTCCATTATGTATGAGTTTGCATGGTGTAAGGAACACTCCGATGGACACCGATGATGTTCCTGTAGGTATCTGATCGGGTATATAGTCCGAGATTTGTATGTGTATAAGCATTCAATGCAGGTTAGAGTACGGTGCTGGCTTCCTTCAAGATGCTCCACTTTGTCCTTTATTACGCATAGTTGTAAAAGTATGAGCTGTGTCTTCTGGGACTTAACGGCATGCAGTCCGTTGAAACGTTGAAGGTCGATCTTGAAGGTAGAGGCGGAGTTACCTCTGAAACATCTGCTGACTTTCAGTGGACTACATGGAGTTATAGCATAGAACACAGCTTCACATAACCACCGTTGTGAGAACCTCAAGTTCTACACTGAAAAAGTAAGTGTGCAGTGCAAATAAGTTCTGATTGGAAGTAAGAAGTGTCATTATGTGACGAGTATGGATGGCTCTTTTCAACTTTGGATTTGTATTTTACATTGTGTATCATTTTAAAGTGACTAATTGTTATGTAAATTGCTCATGATTGCAAATGAAAATTGTGTGTAGTGTGCTGTATGTTGTACTTTTTAAACATTCTGGTTGCATGATGGGAGATACTTTTGTGACAAGTTGTAAAATCACTACTGGTTTTTTCTTACATGTTGGTTAGATTCTTATATGTAGTGTTATGTTTGGCCCCTTTAGCAGGAGGTCCATGCTAGCACACTAATTTTCTCTGTAAAATATATGTTCCTATGATGAACAAGTTCTGCATGGTGCCACATCTCAGAAGACGACATTCTTCATAGTGACCGCTGTGAAAACCTCAAATCTTACATATGTGTTCCTAGTTCTGAATAGCACTATCAACTGTACTATATTTATATGTTTATTTCAGCAGGAACACAATTCAGATTGTAGTTCATAAAAATCAGATGCCTTCTACTGTTGGAAGCATTCCATGCATTTTAAGTACAACATTACATCTCCTGTTCTTTTGTAAGATTTGAGGCTTTCACGGTGGTGACTATGAAGAAAGCAGTCTTCTGGGATTTGGCACCGTGTATATGTGGTGTTAACCGATGTTTCGGAGGAACGTATCGCCTCCATCTTCAGGGTAGAAGGAAAAATATAAGAAATCCGCAAGCAAAGAGACTGTGAGAACTGGTAAAAGCAGACTGGTGTTGGAAATATACACAGCTGTGTGAGAGCAGCGAAGGAAAGGGGGAAGGGCAAGTCTGCATGTGAAATCAGTGGAGTGGGAGGGGGGGAGGGAGAAAGGAGCTGGGACAGAGGCAGGGTTTTGTGTTGGGGGAGAGAAAGGCAAGGTTAAAGGCTGGGCACTAACCCTTAAGCTGGGGGGGGGGTTGTTATGTTAGTCAGTCATGGCCTGTGTAGCCTTCTGGATCTGGCGGCATATCCCAGGGGGGCTTTTAAGAGAACAGATGAGAGGCTTCCATGACTTGCTGAGACAACGTCGGTTAACACCACATATACATGGTGCCAAATCCCAGAAGACTGCTTTCTTTCCTATTCTTTTGTTCAGAACACAACTACAAATTATTGAGAGCACTATTCTACAGATCTTCAAGTTCAGGCATTTTTTTTTATTGCTAGTGGGGTGAGACTAAGTCCCTTGTACTGCGGCCACTTCTGGCCTATTGTACCAGCCTCAGATGATAGGTGAGGGTGATTGTGGAGCAATTGGTGAAATGAAGATTGGCAGGGGAAACCGAAGTACTCAGAGAAAACCTGCCCCAGTGCCACTTTGTCCACCACAAATCCCACTTGACGAGACCTGGGATCGAACCCAAGTTCAGGCATTTAGTTAAAGAGTATAGGGTGACCAAGAATGTAAAGACATACTATTTTGTAGTGCCATTTATACTAGCTCAGATCATTATACCTTGAACATGTTGGTAATCTTGGTTTATGGAGGTGTCTGTATACGTAGCACGTCCACAAAGTAAGTTTCCCACTCATCTCACAGCTAGCAAACCTTATATTGCGTGAAGCCGCTGCGCGTACGTGATAGAGCAATGATGTAGCATGGTGCATGCACTAACGGAATTTCCCGCGTTCCCACAGTAGCATCGTTGCAGCTGTTGAAGATGGAGGCTCTTATTCTAACTCCCGCTGACTGTGAAATGCTTTCAGTGATAAAGTTTTTCAATGCACAGAGCATAGCACCGATCAAAATTCATCGCCAGCTGTGCCGGGTCTATGGGCCTAACGTCATGAGCAAGCAGATGGTACGTCGCTGGTGCAGACAATTTTCAGCAGGTCGACAAAGTGTGCATGATGAGAAGCGCAGTGTGCGGCCATCCATCATTACAGACGACCTTGTGGAGCTCGTACGGGAAAGCATTATGGAGAATCGTTGTGTCACAATTACGGAACTCAGCAGTCATGTCCCGCAGATTTTCCGCTCCTTGTTGCACGAAACTGTCACGGAGCACCTGTTGTTCAGGAAATTGTGTGCCAGGTGGGTGCCGAAGCAACTGACACCAGAACACAAAAGCGCATGGAGTCAGCATTGACCTTTCTGCAGCGGTACCATGATTACGGCGACGAGTTTCTGGACCGGATCATCACAGGTGATGAAATGTGGATTGCAGACATTACCCCAGAAACCAAGCAGCAGTCAAGGCATTGACGTCACAGTGGATCTCCCTGTAAGACAAAATTCAAGCAGACGTTGTCGGCGTGGAAAGTGATGTGTACGGTATTCTGGGACTCTCCACGTCGACTTCCTGACCAGAGGTGAGAGCTGAGCGTTACTGTGAAACACTGCAGAAATTGTGACGGGCCATTCAGAACAAGCAGCACAGTATGCTTTGTGCCAGTATTGTCTTCCTGCATGATAACGCTAGGCCGCACACGGCTCGATGGACAGCAGGTCTGCAGGAGTTCAGCTGGGAGGTTTGTAATCATCCTCCCTACAGCCCGGACCTCGCTCCCAGTGATTTCCAGCTTTTCCTACACCTCAAGAAATTCCTGTCCTGAGAGAATGACAGAGAGGCGGAGATCGTTGTCACACAGTGGTTCCAATCCCAGGCGGCAGACTTCTACAACACAGGTATTCAAAAGTTGGTCCCACGGTATGACAAATGTCTCAGTTCCGGTGGCGATTATGTTGAAAAATAGCTGAACACTTGCTGTATCTGTTGCAATAAATATTTCCATGAAATTATGTTTTGTTTCTGTAAACGGCCCCAGGGAAACTTACTTTGTGGATGAGACTCGTATTTCTCATGTTCCCTCTTCCTCTCTTATAATTTTACTGTGGCTTGTAAGAGAGTATTTTGTAGGAAGGTGCCTTATAATATTTCTTTTTCTTTAATTTGAGCTTTTGGTGATGAAAGTCCTGTTAAATAGTTTGTCTGGTAAGTTACTTTCATTGGATGTCTTATGCACTGACACATTTTTGGATCTGCCGAATCGCACCCTTCAAAATGCTGGCTGCCTTCTTGACCTACAACATTTCAAATTCAGAGACTGGAAAATTAAAGCAGAAATAAATGTCTTGAAATACTTTTGGGCTGATGTGTTCATTATCTGTTTTGTGATGGCTGCCAGTGTTGCTTTTAAATCTCATATAGTACCAAAGAATTGGTTGCAGTGTAGAACATACATACTGAAATCAAAACAGAAATTCCAGACATGCAAGTGTTTTCACCATCTGTCAATTTCCAGTCTTATCCTTTCACTTTTAGCATGCATACATGTGTGTGCATGTGCACGCACGTGTATGCCTGCACATCTCCCTCCTCCTCTTCCACCCAACTCCCTATCCACTGGACATCAGGGACTCCATCCCATGTGGTAAGTAGCTGGGAAATGAAACCTACCACTCATCTACACAAGTAAAGAGTGCCTGGAGCTGTACCTCCACTTCCCCATATGTCTTCACAGTGTGATGCCAATTAAAGCAGAGGAATATATCTCCACAACATCCTGTTTAATTGAACAGGTGAAAAACCTTTTTTCTTTATGTTACTGTAAAGAATACAAACATGGTGGTTGTGCAAAATTCTGAAATGGAAACAACTCCAAGGAGCAGAGTTCCTCATCAGAAGGTAAAGGTTGCTTAGCTAATCGAAAAATTTGTCATCTTTAATGTGCTTTGAAGGTTCATTGCCATGTTTGCAAGAGTCCAGTAGTTGAGTGTACCCTGAGCCAAATGAATCCAGTTCACATTCTTAATCCCTGTTTCTGTAAAATTTGTTTTAATATTGTCCTGTTATCTATGCCTAGGATTTTCCCCCCACAGGTTTTCCAGTTCAAATTTTGTATGCATTTATCATGTCTATATGTGCTACATGCCCTGCCCATCTTATCCTTGTCCTCAGTCTGTGTTCTTCATGTAGAATTACTACAGAAATAATGAAACGCTCGGAATTACAATGTCAGTGTTGTGTAGGATTAAAGTTGGAAGTGAGTAAGATCGCAATGGAATTGGAATCTACCTTAAAAATTATAGAAATTTTGAAGTAAGAGCTGGGCATTGCGGACGCGTTGTCTAGTGCTAATAGAAGTGCCATATGAAATTATGGAAATGGATCCAAGTGAAAAAAACTGGATCCAAACACAAACAAATCAACAAAAGAAGGTAAGAGATAAAGTAAAAGCCCATGAGGAAACATATGTATGAACAAGTAATTGTTTTGAAATTTTATCAAACCGCAATGAGGTTATTAAATCAACTGAAGCAATGAATGAAGAAATTCTCAAACCAAGTACAACTGTACAAAATAAATAAAATTATAAATTAAATTATAAATAAATAAAATTCTAAAATGGAACTAAGACACATTGTAAACTTTGTAAGTAATAATACTCATACAAATGTTATTCTGTTAGGTGTACCACATAGACACGACCTGACATATTGGTCTTGCATAAATATTGAGATAAATACCTTTGATAGGAAACTGTTGAAAATCATGAAATGTCATGAACATGTCACAGTAATGAACTGTGACTTAAATAGACACTTCTTTACAAGACAAAGTATGCATCTGAACAAGAGAGGAAAAGAAGAAATACTTAAACATATAGCAGCAACTTGTGTGACAAATCTAATAAAAATTTGACCACAATTTGCTTGCTCTGGAAGGAATCTGAAAATTATAATGTAAATCTACAAATTAACAAGTGTCCAGCTATGAATGACTGAGTAAAAACTACAGAGCAAAAGAATGAACCAGTACCCAAATTCAATAGACTCAAAAAACTACCAGGTGCAAAAAATAAGGATTTTTTATGGTAAATAAAGGTGCTCTGAAAAGAAATATTTTCTTAAACTGAGTAACCAAAAAAGAAAATGATATCAAATTCTTTAATATTTTCCATCAGAACATTAGAGGTTTAAGGGGGAAAACAAATGAGCTATTAAGTCATCTACATCCAGACTCCCCCCACATATTATATTTTTTCAGATCATATGAATTTCTTGGAATTACAACAGTTAAACATAGATTCTTATAAACTAGGAGCACTCTACTGTAGAACCTTGTATGAAAAAGGAGGAGTACGCATCTATCTACGCACAAGCTTGAATTTTGTAAATAGACCTAAAAAGTATTATAAAGAAAAAGATTTTGAAGTATGTGCCGTTAAGTTAAACCTGAGCTCCAACAGACTTGTATAATTACAATATATAGAGCTCCAACTGGAAACATTGATACATTAATAACAAAACTAGATACAATACTTAGAAATCTATATACCTCAACACAAGAATATATTACTTGTGGGGATATTAATATAAATTACCTTCTTGATAGTGATAAGAAAATCAAGTTAGATACCTTATTGAGAACTTATAATTTAAAAAGTACGGTAAATTTTCCCACCAGAGTTCAAGGAAATTCTGCTACAGCCATTGATATTACTAGAAGGGAAAATTATTTTATAAGGCCTCATCGAACCCGGGCCACCGTGGTGGGAAGCCAGCGACTAACCGCTTGAGCTATGGTGTGGCCCATACTAGTTTGGTAGTTAAAAGTTAAAACTATGATGATCTCTGTGTAAACACAAACAATGCTTTTCACAGTATAAATGAATGGTTCAGAGTAAATCAACTTTCTATAAATTTTAACAAAACCCACTACATTCAGTATACAGCTAGAAATAATAATCCTAAATCTGAAATAAAAATTGTATATGATAAAAAACAAATTACATCTATATCGTAAGATTTGAGGCTTTCATGGCGGTGACTATGAAGAAAGCAGTCTTCTGGGATTTGGCACCGTGTATATGTGGTGTTATTCGGAGGAACGTATCGCCTCCATCTTCAGGGTAGAAGAAAAAATATAAGAAATCTGCAAGCGAAGAGACCGTGAGAACCGGTAAAAGCAGACTGTGTTGAAATATACACAGCTATGTGAGAGCAGAGAGGGTAGGGGGGAAGGGCAAGTATACAAGTGAAAGCAGTAGTGTGGGAGGGGTAGGGGAAGGGAGCTGGGACAAGCATGGTTTTTGTGTAAGGGAGAGAAAGGCAAGGTTAAAGGCTGGGCACAACCCGTAAGCTGAGGGGGGGGGGTTGTTATGTTGGTTGGTCATGGCCTGTGTGGCCTTCTGGATCTGGCGTCATATCCCGGTGGGGG